AAAACGTAATAAATTGACAGGCAAACTCACATTCATAAGTATACTATTAGGACGATAATTGTTATGAATAATACTGAATTATAATTATTTATACGTTTTTTTTTTTATTCAACTTAGAATGGCAAAAAAGCTGACGGCCCACCTGATGGAAAGTGGTAGCCGTTGTCTACAGACATGAGCAGTACCATTAAAAGAGGAACCATAAATAAATGCGAGTAAAGGTGATACAAATAATTCCAGTATTAGGATAATAGTATTCAAAAAATAAAAATACATAAGCAATTCATGTAGAAATTATCGACTATTATATATATCTATATATACATGGAGTTTTTTTCGGCTTCTCAAAGGTTGACTGTAAGAGATCTCTCTGTAGGATAAGTCCGCTATTGTATGTCAAATCTTCTTAATGTGTACGATGTAAAGAATGTACAATAAAGGTTTTAAAATATAATTCTCGTTATCACTTACATGTTTAATGATATACAGTCAATAAAATACAACTAATCATCTAACACAAATTAAAGTTGAATTAACAAACTCGATTTTGAAGTTCCCCTATAAAGTTCAGAAAGCGAAGGGGTATGAGTGAAATGCAACAAAGGCTGGCACGCGCCGCCGCGGCACTCACGCTGAGTGCGGTACTTTGTGGCAGGCTGTAGGCATCGTGGCTGTCGGCGATACTATGCAATACGCGACACTGAGACATGCACTACGCACACAGCCACCCGCAGCTTCTCCGACCATCGACAAGTAGGCCTCTTGTACGCGGAAGTGATACTGTACACCCGAATAATCATATATGATTTATGAATTTATAAATTCAAAATAAAATTGTATTTGACTATTTGCCTATTTTTTTAGGAAAAAATCTGGAAGAAATATTGACTAAATTAGTTGTTGGATACCTGAATACTTAATAATAGGTACCCCTTAATCTTGATATATTATATTTATCTTATTTGTTTAATTGCACAATAGGAATTTGATAAACTTACTATGTTTGTCGTTACCAACAATTGTTTCAACTTAAACGATTACAAAGCGAATGCAGCAGTAGACTTGCTCTCTGCCATTTTGGATTCTAATTTTGTAGGTAAAATGTCAGCCTATTGAGTTACGATCACTCAAACTCACCACAGTCGACAAAGACCTCTGACTGACTATTAGAAGATATAATCATATAATCGTAACCATACTAAAATTTAATTGTACATACATTACACTATAATATAAAATTTGATAGGTCTTTAAATTAATAGCGAAACAGTTCTTTGTTGAATGCCAGTATTACCTATCTATTGATACTTGAATATATAGCAGGGATCATTACCGAGGTGAACACTAATGAACCACTCGATCGAGGTCGGAGATCGCCTGAGGAGACAAGCCAGTCCACCGGAGATAGCGGACACCTCTCGAAACATTGAGTCTCCTCAAGATTGTATTACACGCTTATTCGAACGCACGAAGTCAGTGACGTATTTAGGTATTATCACTTCATATATATGGCAATACGTAGATCTTATTTTTATTTAATTTGCATAACCTGATCACGCGTTTCAAAAATTACATACATTCTAATTGTGATATTGAAAATATTTCCCAAATATATGAATCGAAAAAATGTTTTACCATTCCATAGTAATTTAAAAAATAAATGTGTTAATTTAATATATTGATATAGACATTCTTACATAAACGATACAACCGAATAATTATGCATTTAAAGCATTGACAGAAAATTACATGTTGTTACTCAACCATGCTGAACCATGAATGGACGGATTCGAATATAATTTGTGGTAGCTGTAGTCAATATTAAAAAACGATTTTTTCTCTAATATGTCAGTCCTAAAATTGCTTTAATGACTTTGAAGTCATTAATGCATATACTTGGATATACAGACAATCTTATTATGAAGTCACTGGTTACACTATTTTTAAACTTTTCAAATTTACTTTTGAATGTTTTTCTCGACAAATGACTAAATTTTAATCCAATACTTATGAAGTCATTGTGGTGCAATATAAAATCTCTCCAAAAATATAAAATACTTACGGTGTCCTACAAATGGCACAAAAGTTTTAATGTAGCGTATTGAACAAATATAGAGAACAGCAACCCCGCTAGTACTTAGGGAGGGCTTATCGAGAGATGCAAGAGCACCTCTCCTTTCAAAAGGGTTGCTTTGTGCTTCCCACTAGAACCACTTTCAGCACTGAGGACATGCTACCTTTAAACATAATGAATTCTCTTAGAAACAGTATGCCCAGCTTTTAGGCTTTTAAATACGAGTATTTTTTATAGAAGTTTCGTGATATTTTAGAAATATCCATGTAATTAGGATAGAATAATGATGATAGGTGAGGTAAAATGTTTTAATAATTATGTATATAAATCTGACTGTTTGTCAAAAGTTTGTTTTAAGAAGAAATTTTAGTATACATAGAAAAAGAGAACAGAAGAAATGGTCAAAATGTTGTACGCGCTGACTTAAGTCTGTACGTCTATCACTGCATTTGGTATGGAACTACAATTATTACAATAAAATATCTTCAGTCATCATAGGGAGTATCTGAACTATTTTCAGTTGTTATTACCATCTTATTAAATAATACTAATACCCAAAATAAAAGTAGACATAAAATATTATGATCTGACATGTTTTAGTTTCCAAATAGATTATTTCCAAACTTTGTTTAACCTTTATCTTTTGATACTTACGTAGAATGGCTACGCCTACTCGTGAATGTCAGGGCATAGGATAATGTCATTCGAACGCCCTTTGAAATGTAATAATAAAACCTGTACAATAAACAGAAAACTCTATTATATTATTAGTTCTATGAGAAAACATAAACACCAGACGCCATTTTACATTTGATTTTAGTACAAAGTCTACTAAAATCTAACGAAGCAGCTACTCTTTCACAACTAGATTGAGTGGGATAATTTTAGTCTTCAGAAAAGGCACCGCATGATCTAATAAAAAAATCGCTTCAATCATGAACACATATACATCGACGGACAACGAGACATTATGTAGACACATTACATTGAAAATATTTCACTTGTTTCACAACTAGTAATTTTTGCTCCGCAAGAATAGCAATCAAACCCTATTAATTAACAAAAAAAAGTATGATAAACATTTCAGAATTTATTCCATTGGTGAAAATTCAAACTGAATCGAAGTTTTGAGATGTTCGTTATTTTGGAAGTCTGTTAATAAACGTGTCTTGTGAGTGATGTACTCGTAACTATACCGTTATCCTCTAATTCGGTTCTAATGGTGCAGTTAAAGGAAGTGTTCTCGAGGCGGACCAAGTGGTGCTCGTGGAGGAAATGAGTTCAATTTACCATTATCTCGGAGAATTGACTGCCGCGACCTCGCCTCGCTAGCCGCTACTTGTTACCGACTTATTTAGTATGACAACCCAACTAGAAAACTGCCACGGAAATTGCAGGGTTGCAAATTGGGTTCGCATAACCAAATCACCTTAACGATGTGTACATATTTAGTTTATTTTTAATGTAAGGTATTCGGTCACTGGATCATATTTTTTAATTGTTTGTTTGCAATGAAACTTATTTAAAAGATAACTTTTGTCGGTGACTATTCAATAAATTTCATCGTCTTTTTTCTAAAATAAACATAAAATATGATGGTTTTCATTTTGATGTTACGGTGATTGATTATGTAAACGATTTCAAAAAGAGTTTTAATACTTATAACCGTATTTAAATTAATTGAAGTTTGGCATAGGTATCATGTAGATACATATACACACAAAAAATACAAGCAAATTTAAAACAAACAAAATGTTTTTGAAACCATCTAAAAAGTTTAAAGTATAGTAATTGTAATACTAATTTTTAACCGCGACTTCGTCCATTAAACTAAGATGTGTTACTAAACTGGAATAAAAAGAATCATATAACCTTCTCAATCCCAAATACTACATATATATCAAATTTCATTTCAAGCCATTAATTATTAAGCGCTAAACTGTAATAAACAAACGAACTCATTTTCACATTTGTACATATTAGCTGTTTCCCGCGACTTCGCCTACATGAATCAGTATATTATTGAAACTTTTTTATAATCAATATGTAAATTTCAATCTGGCTACATGTATATATATTTTTTTTATATTGTATTGTATTTATAATTTTTTTATATTGTATATTGTTTCTCTTCAAATTTCTTTCTGGTGTTATATCTGTACCTAATAAAAAAAATATTTTGTACGTATTTTATTGTTGCTCCTAAAAATGTTTATTTCCACTGTGACCCTCTACGTATATAAAGTATTTTATGCGTTAAGTTAGGGTATAACCTATCCGTCTACCAAATATGGTTCAAATCTGTTCTGCCGTTTAAACATTGAAAAATAGACATCCAAATATCTTTACAAAGTTTCAAATTTGTAATATTAGTAGGATTAGTAAAGATTACTTATGTAATACCATACCAAACATCAAAATTCGTTCAGCCGTTTCGCCATAAAAACAAAGCACAATTACTTTCTTTTTACGGCTAAACTTTTTACAGCTTGACGGATTTTAATGAAAATAGGTATGGTGTCGTTACATTCGTCCAATTGTGGAGGTGTGGCCATAAACTGTCAAAAACTTGTGAAATTTAATATAAAAGTTTTTTTTTCTTATTTTATTGTGCCCCATTTGCTTAACAAAGTCAGAAATATCTTTATATGTACATACACTTAGAAAAATAATATCTAAAATGGAATGCCACTCTACTGAGTGAAAATGAGTGATGATTCCAGATTGATGATAATGATAGATGAGGATGAAGTCAGGTTAGTAGACCTATCTTCATAAATTAACCAAGATAGTTTCCAGAGGAAACCGAATGGAAGTCAACCTGACAGGGATACTTTCTGTACCTGCTACTAATGGGGCTTTTAGTCCCCATTATTAACATCCTAAGGTTTCTACACTTTCTAAGGTTATATCACTTATATTCCAGAGGGTGCGACGATGTGCAGCGGTCATTGGAATTGCTGGATCAGGTGCTAAGCGAGTACGACGAAGGGGAGCCGAGGTCGCTGGAGGCGCGCGCGCCGCCTACTCCCGCCACACCCGCCACGCCGGCCACGCCAGCCACCGACGACGATTCCCCACTTGCAGGACACACTTCCGAAGACGATGGATACATGAGCATGAACGGCAGACGGTAAGGCCCTTATTCACATTTATTACCAGTCTGTAAAAAGATATTTGCATGGGTACCCTTACCCCAATACTGTATTTTCGCTTCCAAGTAACTGGACTGCATAGTCTATTAATTGCAAAGTTTTACACCCAAGTTTTGTATGAACCGAGTCCATAGACGAAAACTGTTTTAGTCATCGTAAACCCTAACGGAAAGTATTCGAATAAACGATAACTGTGAAATTTGGACCTATCAAATTTTTTATTGTAATATCAAGTTCCACAGCAATTCTTATTTTTATTTTAATGTCAAGCTTATGTATTGTAAGATCTCAAAATTTGTTACAAATGTTTCATGATACAAACTTATGCAGTCCGTCCACCCTTCAGACCGAAAGACATGACCGTCTTTCAATTTAAAGGGTGAAACATGTCGGAGAGATTACCTTAGTTCTCAGGATTACATACGCATGACAATAACCGTGGGCGCCATATTATATTTTACGATGATCATGTTGCTGTTTATATGTTTAGGTGTCTGTTATTCCTTCAAGTGAGCCGCTACTATAATAACGCTGGGTCGTTTTGTTACGTTGTTTGCAAGGCGTAAATTATATTTCTAACAATAAAAGCAATCCGACAATAGTATCAGATTTATTTATTTTATTTTAATTATATTTTTTTGAAAGAGGCTTACAGCTATCATAATTAAATAAATATGACAATAACAAGCTAATTAAAAACACACATTTAGTTCATAAAATTAAATTAGTTACAGTCTTTTATTAATAGATTAAAATTGGGGGATATTTAAAAAAAAACAATGTTATAAAGTGTGTAAGTAATCAGCAATGGAAGCCAAAACAATGTTTTTAGGAATATTGTCTCTCTGTCTATCTGTATGATTATTCTAGTCATCATCGTCATATCAACTATTAATTGTCCACTGATGAACCTAAGGCTCCCCCTTGGGAGGGTTTTGCCAGTAGTTGCCACGCAGGCAGATTGGCAACCGTAATTAAGCCTTGGAGATGTTTTAAGAGGGACGCTGCTGCCCATCTCTTCCCCGATTATTCCAGTGTTAAATAAAAACGATTGCACCAAATTGAATGCAATTTTGTTCCTTCACAATTGTACTCCTAAAGGTCTCGCTTAAAAAGTTACGCAATTAAGTAAGCATTTAGAAATGGTCTATTTAATGAAATAGAAACCAATAGATTTTCCACACGTACGAAGCCGCTATTTCGCAAAAAGCTAATTCTCAATAATTTTGTTTTATAATTTCTAGGGCGAAGTTCGCGCTGGGTTTCCATCCGACTGAGGAACACGAGGAACCTTCGCCACCGGATCCGCCATCACCGCATTCGCCGCCGCCACCCGAAGAGGCGCAACGAATCATATCCACGTTACTACCAAAGTAAATATTTATCGTAATAAGTAAACCAAAAATTAGAACTCTTTGGCATTCCACTACAAAGTAAAAATCGATTTTTATGTAGAATGAAATCGAAGTTCACCTGCAATAATATTATTTACGCTAGAAAGTAATTAATATCAATAATCATCATTATCCCAGCCAGTATCTATCCACTGCTGAATATACGCCTCTCCCATAGACTGCCATGAGGAACAGTCCTGAACCACCTGCATGATAAGTGGATATGAATATATTATGAAACAAATATATTTAACATTTTTTGATTCGTGAATCAAAAATTAATAAGTTTCAAAAATTTTATAAAGACATAAATTGGATTATCGTATTATATTTAGAAATAAATCGCCAATAACATTTCCGGATTCTAAGTTCCTTTACAAAACTTTGTCTTTCAAAGCTCTGAGATGTTACTAACAATGTACTTCACGCTCTGCAGATTCTCATTGTACTTTAAATTCAATATTAAGTACCTAAGTTGTCCCAGTATTATCCCTATTGTTTTAAAGTTTTGTGCAATCAATCTATTTCAGAGTATCGCCAGCGAATTCTGCAAAACGAAATCCATCGTTTGAGCAGCATGATCCAGAGGGGAAATTAGATTCAATTATTAGTGTAAATGGAATCACCACAGCAACACAAACAACTTTTGTAAGTATATTTTCTGTTTTACCTTTTGCCTTAAGAGTGAGTTTTGACTATAATTCGTTATGCTGTTGTAATTTGGGTTTAATATGGGATAGAAATGTAACGATAATCTTACCTGCATTGTCGATATACGCTAGGGGAATTATAATAAGGGGTGATAGATGAGGATAATGTCAGGTCACTCCGGCCATTGTGAAAAATTCAAGAAGATCATGGTTTCCAAGCCGCATGGAGGTCGATCTCTCTGAATAAATGCTTTATTATATGCTGTGAGGTCCCGTAATTCCAACACTGACAATCCTTGTATTACAGATATAGATTTTCTAATGATGACACGTATTTTTTTTATTAAAATCGATTGTTAATTAAAAAATTATTTACTTTATTGTTACATCCCCTGGCTCCGCCCATAAACCAGTATAAATATACGTATAAATCAGTTCCAAAGTGCCCATCTGCTAAGATATAACCCATCCACACTATCAAATTTTATTCATATCCGTTCAGTAATTTATGCATGAAAGAGTAACAAACATCAATTCATCCGTCCAACCATGGTCACAAATTTTATCCCGTGATATTGTCCACGTAAATTATTTTAAAAATATTCTGTGCCTTAATCCATAATCCATCTGTATACCAAATATTGAAATTTATGCAGTCGTTTTAACGTGATTAAGTAACAAACATTTGACCATCTTACAGACTTTCATACGTTTCATTTATTTCTAGTAGGTTCTCCTTATAATCAAAATCTTGTCTTTAATTATTTTACAGTTTATAAATTATTTCAAATTGTTATAATTTTAGCCAAAAACCAGACATCAACGTCCATACGGCTGGGAAAAGGACAACGATACAAACGGTTTCCACCTTCAGCAGCCGCCGGTACCCGCATACCGGTTTGCGTCATTACAGCACGGGGCGCGGCCACCGCAGCCTGACGGCGCCCTCGCTTGGCTACCTCCTAGACATACTGCACCTCCCACTAATCAGAAAAAATCTCCTAGTATCGAAAATCCACCAGTTTTCCCTTTTATGGGCTTTTCGAGCGAATTTAATGATAAACCGTATAATGAACACCCAGTCACAATTTATCCCGGACCAAATATACAATATAATAAACAATTACATTCGCCAACATATAACATTCAGAAAATATCACCTTCCAATACAAAAAGTTCCGAAAAAAAAGGCAATAACAAACGCGACAGCAGATCTGACGGAGAGATACTGTCGCCGAAAGCCAGAATACCTCCGCGGACTCTCGCCGGTTCTATGGAGAGGCATAGAGAAGTGTGTAGAGGATCTTCGGAGGACATTATGGAGGGTAGCAGGAGGAGAAATTCTGGTAGAAGCAACGACGACGAGCACTTCTCTGACGATTCGCTAGAAGAGTCGTTCCCGCCGCCACCGCCTACAGTCACGACACCTTCGAAACGCAATTCCATAGCTTGGGAAGTGTCTCTCGATGGTGACGATCCTCTATTAACTCCAGGAAGTACTAAGGTAAACATTTGATTATTATTTTAAATGATAATAATAAATTGTTTTTTGATTGTTTAAGAAACTTTATTGTACTTACACAAAAAAGAAAAGCAAATTTAGTCAATATAACACAACAATGTCTATTTGCAATATTTAATTAAAAAAAATCATAATAAAATGTTTTTAATGTTCCAGGTAATTGGCAGACGAAGAAGAAAATCTGGAGATCAATCACATTCTAGTACGAGTTCTATACCACAACGTTTGGATGACGATTGGGGCGACGACTACTGGCCACCTCCCCCGCCCCTTACACACTGTGAATCTCTTGCTTCTCCTACTTCAGATGTGGAGCCAGATAGTAGACGTAACCAGGATTTAGCAACTGGTACATATGTCATACGAAAAGGCAAAAATCGAAAACAATTGCCGAATTTCAATAAAAATATAAGCAAGCCATTAAACACAAGCAACTTATTACATAGTCACAGTTTAAACAGAAGTTTAGATACTGACAAATCAATAGATGGATCAAGTATATCAATCAGTGGGTCTGGATCTGTAGGGTCATATAATTCCAGACCGAGTTCAGATCTAAGTCTACCTCAGTCACGATACAGTGTAGATTTAAATTCACGGTTGAGTAGAGAACTCAATACGCCCAACTCTAGATATAGTATAGATCTTTGTACTCCAAATTCTAGACTGAGCAAAGAAATGACATCACCCAAATCAAGACTTAGCTTAGATCTCAACAACGGTCAAGATAGATATATAGTTCAGGAGTATTTTGGTCATAGCCCTAAAAGTAGAAAAACACCTAGTGATAAAAGCGCGCATTCTTCCAAAAGTAATATGGTCCAGAACAAATTATCTCCACAAAATAGATTTACTGATTTCAAGAAGTATTCTTCTACATTTGATAATATACAGTCATTAATTAAAGAAGGTAAAGTTGAGGAAACATCTCAAGTGGAATGTAATGAAACTGTGAATGAACTGACCACAGTGCCTCCTAATATGGTAAGAGTTGTTTCTTTGCCCAGTTTGGGTGCGGAGGGAGAGAGTAATAGTGCCAATCGTCAGGCACTTATCACCACTGTTGAAGAAGAGGAGGACCAGGAAAGCGGAGAGCCAGAGTCTAGTGGTGAGACATCGCCGCTCAGAAAGATAGAAAACAATATTAGCGCTATTCTAAGCCAGGGTCGGGACCAAAAACATTTTACCCCATACATACCTAAAGACTGGAATATCCATAAGGATGAATACTGTGATGATGTATCTAAAGATATATTAGAAAACAATTTCCGTTATAGTTCTAGAGAGAGACAAAAAAGATATGATATACAAAAGTCGTCAAGTCACAACGAGATACAGAACCAAAGGTCAATAGAAAGACGTGATCGCTCTTCAGGGAGAAGATCTAATAGCATGCATAAATCGACTAGTGCAAAGGATGTACCAGTTAGTTTAATTAGGCAACCATCTTCATCAGATTCAGCTGTGTCAAGTGGTGGTGATTTCCCATTGAATGTTCAAATCGTGGAACATTCATACAGACATCACCCACTACCGCCTTCACCGAATTTGGGTCATGATATGGGACCCTTGCCACAAACACCTGAATCCCCAAAATTTCCCCCACTTCCACCTTCGCCAGTACAAGAAGTGGAGGATGAATATACAGAAATAATACAACCTACAGAAAAACGACATGTTAAGAAAGCTGATACCTTACCAACACCAACCATGGAATGCAGAAGGAGGTAAGTTACTCTTGATTTTCTTACATTCCTTATTTATAAATAACAACACATAAGTAGTAATACATAAGGTTTTGTACAAGTCAAATCAACGAGTATTGTAATTTTTAACTTTTTAACAAGTTTTCTATTCTTATATTTATTTTTTTCACAATTTACAATAAATGTAGATATATCTACTGTATATACATATATATGTTATACACAAAAAAAATATTGAATCTGGTAATAGTTATATCCAATAGCTCGTATTATTTTTCTAGTTTAAGACAGCGATTTGAACTTTGACAGTTTTATAAGAAACTTGCCTGTTGCTAGTACGAGACTAACTTGATCTTTAAAAATGTTATGATAAATCGTTGTTCATATATATTTATAAGCAACAGTTTGCATTTTGACAGACTGTCGCCTAATAGAGCAAACTTGTTTGCGATTCCAATAATAAAGAAATGCAATAAATTTACACATAGACCTCATCACTTCAGCCCTTTTTCTAAATTACAAAGAATTACATGGTACAATAATTGCATTTGACATTCCATAATGGAGTTATAGGTACTTTAACGATGCAATGACGTCACTGAAGACCACAACTTGCATATTTCTTTCCCATCGGTTATTGATTCTTAAGTTCTGTGGCCGATGATGATACGATGTGATGTATATGTATGTGATTTGCTAAAGTAGCATTGCTACTTTAGTAAATCAATCCTTTGTACTATGTACATTCATCACGTCGTTTCTTCTATGGATATATTTATTTCGGATTCTATCACACAACGAAACTCCGAATATAGCCTGATCAATAACTTGCTAAGCGATTTGAGGATTCCTCTTGTGACTAACAGTGTAACACTATGCTTTTATTCCGTAAGTCACTAGTATCATTCACTTTAAAAACTCATAATGACCGAGGTATGAAATTGTTTTTAAGACACCTACGGACGAAGGCGCCACCAAAAGTCAGCCGTATTGAAAATCAAATAAAAATTATTTTACAGGCCTTCTGAACCACCAGCAATTCCGCCACATCGTGATACTACAAACAGCCTCAAGACGAGATCTATGGAAACGAGTTATAACAAAAATAGAAGAAGTAGCAATTTCAAAACCGGTTCTACAGATAGAAGGACATTACCTACAGGTAATAATAACTTCGCTAGTTATTTTTGTTTTGATTAACAATTTCTTTTTTATTTATAATATTATTAGATTATCTGTTTCCCTCGACTTTAACCGCGCAGGATATTATCTTCCATATTCTTAAAAACTTCCAGAAATCCTTTCCTCTGGATATCTAGCAGACAATCTTTATGGATAACTGAAGCCTTCTCAGCATCAATACCTAGTTTTAACTATATGCTAAGTCGGTTATTGGTTCGCTTATGTGTTCTATGTTAATGTTAATTAATCAAATATGTGCGGTTATAGCATATATTCCGTCATAAAGATCAGCATCAAATAAACAACTGAATTTATTTCAACAACATCAAAACCTTAAAAAACTAATGAACCATGGACCCTTATATATCAATTTTTAACTAGTCATTACTAGTTATGTTCCACATTTCACTTGCACAGAATATAATTGTAAATTTTTATTAATGGAATATAAAAGACTATTAGAGATAACGCATATTGACTCTTGCAGAAAAAATAAGACCTAATTTTACTTCAAGAACTTTCAGTTTTACTGAAGAAGTCTCTAGTCTAGTCTATCTCGGTGTGTGGACTTTTTTCACCCAAATCTACTTGTATAATTTTTACATAGCATTGTATAGTCATAAATATAGTATAATATTATCTATATCTAAACTAAGCAGCGCTTGTATTATCGATATCAACTAACTGATAGACAAACACATAGAAAACATTGTAACCAATACAGACAGATATATTTATGAATATGGTATTATTGGTTTATATTGCATGTAGGGAAATAAAATTGGTATCTTTTAATGGGTTCTAATGGAGTTTTTTTTTTTGTTTTTAATGGATGATAATGAAATGGTAACCCCTCCTGCGCTATTGGTATACACTGGCAGGTCACCAGTAGGGGATGATAGGTAAAATGAAACAGGTATGTCAGCCCATCGTGACAAATTCACCAATAAATCAATCGTGATGGTTTCCAGGGAGAACCGCGTGGTGGTCGACCTGATATGATATATTGGTAGTAATAGGGTTGCTAATCCCCATTACTAATAATCCCTTTCCTTCCCTAATGTTAATGAAAGGAATTGTTAAACCCTCTTAGGGTTCCTACCGCCCCATTGTTGACAATATACCCCATCTAATCAACCCCCACGCGGTTTCCCCTCGAAACCATCTTGGTTGATTCTTTATGAGTTCGTCGCTATGAGCTATTACCCATCATCTCTTATCGGTACCCCGCCGTGTAAACCCATAGCACAGGCGGGGATACCATACCATTATCACCCATTAAAAAAACACTCGACGTGCCCATATTCAACAAATCATAAATTAATTAGAATGATGATGGCTCGCCACCTGCCACGTTCAATTCAAATATGCTTAATATTAGAAATAACATACGATAGACACTTGTAATGTCATGGGTAAAATAGGTATGTTCTTTGCTAATTTATATTAATAATATTTAATGGTCAAAGAATGGGAACAGGGTCTTTCTTAAATCATCACCAAAGCGTAACTATGGTCGCCAACCCGCATGTCAAGCGTGGCAACTACTGGCAAAGCCCCCCTTATGGGGAGACTTCCGTGCAGCAGTGGACAGTTAACGACCGATATGATAATATTAAGTTATGTTAGTATTAGCATTAAAAAATCATATCATCTACTTCCAGATATAGGAGCAAGTGGAGCTAGAAGACGCACATTACAACGGCAGAGCAGAGAAGCGGCAGCAGCTGGTCGTGGTCCATTGCAAACGTCCGCGAGCTTGCCCGAGACGCCGGTGTTCGCGCGAGGCTGCGATGTACCTCGCACACCGCCCAGAAACTCCACGGGACCTCCCAGAAACAACACAATGAACTCTATACAATCCATTGGTAAGACCAATCAATTTTTTTATGCGTCTTAGAATGGCATACAAGCTGACGGCCCACCTGATGGAAAGTGGCAACCGTCGCCTATAGACATGAGCAGTACCATGGACATAACAAAGCATACTGTTTCGCCCAAGATACCCCCATGCGTCATTCCTGAGGACTCAGGTGTTACGAGTATTCCTCTGTACCCTGTAAATTAATTGCCATATCCCACCGTTCAAACCGAAACACAGCCATGCAGACATAGCTGCTTCACGGTAGAAACACGAATGAGACAGAGGTGCCCAAGCAAACGACTTAAATAATGCTGTAGTTGCACATAATCTATAAATGTGAACGTGTGTGTTTTTATTTCATATTTCTCTCCGATAATTATAAAATTTTATCACACATAGTATTCAAATGGTAAAGGTATGTCCTTCATTACTACTTTTTGCAATATATTGGGACATACATAACGAGGAGGTTTGTAGAAAAAAAAAGCCTTTTCTGTAAAGAAATTTAGTCAAAACTTCATTCTGTACACATGCAATTTTTTCAAGCTTGCGTGGATTCGAAACTGTAAATTAATATTATATGTAAAATATTATACAATATAAAATATTATACAATATAAAATATTATACAATATAAAATATTATGTAAATTTATATTATATAAATTATATATATAAATAATAAAAATATTTCAACTGATTTTAAATACTCACCTATAGAAAACTACTGTATCAGCGAATAAACTGGGCTGTATTTTATTTTCAAATATCCTATATAAAATCATATTTAATTGTTCATAACAGGTAGCAGTGTGACACTAGGCGGGTACGGCAGAGGTTCGATAATGGGCGCCGCGGCGGGCGGCGTGTGCACTGGCGCGGACCTCCTGCGGCTCGGCGGGCCGCCGCGCGGCTGGTACCCGCGACAGCGGCATCGGTCAGTACAGTACCTACCCAGTTACTCATTGCTTCACATATTTGTATAAAAAAAAGGACGAACAGTGATTTCCTTAAAAAAAAAAATTAAAACTGTAGGTAGTTGAAAATAAAAAAAAAGTAAATACACACAGTGGAATCGAATATTAAGTGTAAATATGAAATTTCGTATTTAGAAGTTAATTTTTTTTGAAAAATAGCGTGCAAATTTATAAACGTCATGCAGCGTTCTAGCTAATTGTGTAATTCATTAACACTAAACTATAGCGATTTATTTTGATAAAAATATTTTAACGCCCAAATATATTACATTTCTTTTTATTAATTATCATATAAAAAGAAAATAGTCATTGAAATGTATTAAAGATCGTTTTTAAATCGATCTCGATTTGAAAACGAACAAACAAATAATTTTCCTTGATTTCTGTTCAATTTCTTCTATTTAGTCATGCTTTATTTACATCTGTCTTTGGATATCCATTAAAAGAAGTGTAATTAATATACATATCCCTATAATTGTCATTGAGAGACAAACTTTTTCAAGGACAAAAACCTGTAACATTGTAACCTTTATGATATTTTGTGCTCGCCCTATTTTAAAGTTTGCTGCTAATTCCTGTCAATGATATGAATTTTAAAGTGTTCTTAGCAGCTGTTTTTTATCTCCTCAGGTTATAAAGTGTATTTTATAAAGAAGATATATTGTTTATGTATAAGTGGGCTACAGCCACAAATTATGCTGGTACGGCGTTTCTTCTTAATTGTGACAAAATCTGCAACTTTTTGGGAATAAGTCTAGTTGAGCCATATGTTTATTTGAATTTTCAGTGTCCAGTGAGAGCCTTTGTTAGTTGCACATTTTTACTCAAGAGAGTTAATTTCTTGGAGTAGTAATCTGAAAACCCCTTAATCAGAGCTTTCTAGTGCTTTAATCCTAGCAATAATAGCCAGCTATTATTTGCTGCTTTTAAGCTTTCAAATTTGGGATGTCTAAGCTTTAGACTTTGAGGCATACCAGAATAAGATTCTAGTTCCATTCTTTGCTAATTGATTAGCTGTTGACATGTCCATGAATATTTGAATGACCAGGAATCTACCTTAAGATAATGTTATTTCTGCTGCCCAAGTAATTTAATAACATTATGCAGTTGTTTATAGTAGTAGTATAGTAGTTGTACTTTGAATTCTCAAATTACGTCAATCTTATTCACTTTCATTGTGATAATATAGTTATCAGTATGCAATCCTATATCACTCACTCACTGGCTAATCATCATCACTTAACCTACAAAGTTGAAACTTTAATTGTCGATTCCTATGAATTCACAGTTTTAATAAAAAAAAAAGAATCGAAAACACACAAGAACGTAAATAATAGTCTCGCAAGCATACAAAAATTTGCACAAGTTTGTACTTTGCAGAATGATGAAATTTTAAGATTGTTTAACATTCCATGTGGTCCCTTCTTAAAACAATCCCAAGGCTTTGAAACCGAGCATGAGGTCACGAAGTAAGATTCGCTAGCATAATGATATGTGCTGGCTATCCTCATATTTTTACAAAACTGCCCGCAAAGCCAATCTGATAAAAATTAAAAAATGGGTCGCAATAATCGACTAGTATTTTATAAATACAAATAAAACAAAGAGATTGATAAATTAAAATTAAATCTGTAAATGACAGATCCAAATTTAAATGTGTGAATAATTATTACACTTAAAATATTTTCAACGTACCAACCTAATCTTTTACATACTTTCTGTCGACTAAATAGATAAATAAGTAGTAGTCAATAACATATACATTTTATTATTAAAACTGTAGAAATTTTAGGATTGTGTAATCCACTGATAAAAACTGTATGGTATACAAAATGGTTTTATCTATTTTGAATTAATAGCAAACATGTTAATTACTTTGGTACTCAGTTCTCTTTACCTACCTCGCAAGAGACTTGGTTTGAAGATTGATAGATCTATAAGTTAATTACTTTAAAACGACCGAGAATATTTTACTAAATATACATAATATTTATGTATATTTAGTAAAATATTCTCGGAATACACAAATAATACACAAAAATAAAATACATCTTAGTCAATTTTTCAATTATTACTTATTAATAAGAATACCTACTTATATTTGGATAAATATAAATTAGGTGTAATGTAATGTATACTTTTAAAATAGTTTGTCCTACAAACTCATTTTATCTCATATTTATAAAGATCAAAGCGAAGCAACAACAGCACTAGAAAGCTAAAATTAGAAAAATAGGTTTATTTTATAACGTATATTTTGTTTCGTCGATTTTTTAATCCAATACAGCGCGTGTAAAACCGTCGACTACAGCTAGTTTAATATAATTTTATGGTGTAATAATTATAAAACTATTAATGTTAAAAATGTATAACAATTAATCACCGAACTAAACACGATTGCCCATTAATTACAGTCTGAATGACAAATTAACAACGTCGCAGTTTGAACTTCAAATTAACTAAGTGTAATATATTTAATTATTCCATTAATTTTGCTACTTTTGTACCTATTTATATAATTTAATGTTTTCTATAACGGAAAAAGTTATAATAAGTGATCAGCAAGTAAACCAGCAATTAACCGAAGATGTTGAAAATGATTTATCTGAGATATTCGTTTATGCTAAGGTTTTTAATGGGTGAAATGGAATGGTAGCTCTGCTCTGCGCTATTGGTATACATTAGCGGAGTACTAGTGAGAAATAGTAGGTGAGGATGAAAGCAGATCACTCAGTCTATCGTGACGATTTCCAGAATGAACCACGATACTTTCCACGGGAAACTGCGTGGAGGTCGATCTGCTGGCAATATAATGTGAGGCTGCTACAGCCCATTAGTAACAATCCCTTTTTCTCTGTGCGCTAAGGTGTATTGCGTAATAGACAAGACTCCCCAATAGTAACATTATAAGTGAAATTATTCTACAAAAAATAAACTGGTCAGATGCGAGTTGAACTCATACGCCGAGGGTCCCGTACATAGATATACAAATATGAGATAAAATGACCTTTACACACTAAATAGACACATAATAGTTATTGATACTACAGTTCATTTTTCTTATTTTGGGTTACAATTGTGATTTAAAACTAGACCGTAAAACTATATTTGTTTTTTTTTTTGAGGTGTTTTTTTTTGATAATTTCTCAAAAATGGTGCTGGATAGAAACATCATTTTATTTTATTTTTTCCTCACATTGTATTCTCATATACCTTAATAAACTGTAATTAATTCAGAAACTTCGGAAATAAGGAATGCTATTTTTCTAACATTTTCGATCATAACTAAAAAAACTATGCATGATTTTTATTATTTTTAAAATGTACAAATAAAGTTTTTTTATACCCTATTTGGACTAGCAAGTTAATTTTGAAATTTTAAGTACCCTCTAGCAAATGCATTTGTGCTATATGTGTTACAATATGTGCTGCCAACAATATGTAAAACTGTACTAAATTTCAAATCGATAGCCTTAATAATTGAGATATAGCGCTTTGACAGACGGACATACGAACAGACGAACAAAGTAGCACTATAAAGCTTCTTTTATATCTTTTTGGTACAGAACCCGGAAAAACTACTTCAATTGGGACAAAATTAGTTAGTTATCATCACGGATGTAAATCCATAAGATCACAAAAGAATCTTTATAACGTAGTGAGCTAAAATCGGATATGAGAGGTTAAAAATATAAAAGAAACAAATATGCTCACAGTTGTGATCCCCGATGTGGTAATTGAAAGCGGTTATTATCGTTGTGGTGAACGTAACATTCCATATCTTCACATTTTATCGAGCATTTTTAATATTCAACGTGTCAGGGGACAAGCCTATTGCCGTCATTAGGATTAATTTAATGATCATCAGCATCTTTATGAAATTAATTTTTTACATAAAGAAACGGATCGAAAATCGACAAAAAAAGCTTTTAACCTACAGTAGATATACCTACTAACTTGACAATAGGATACACCATGAGAGGTTGTTACTTGTTTTATTTTTATGTACTTATTATAATTATTATAAAATATTAAGAAATTTATCAATATATATTCCAACATTTCTAATTTATTTCGTTCTATCCCTTTAATAGATTTCCGCACATAACCATTCTTACAGAGCTTACAATACTCATCACCGCTTAACTTATGCTTGCCAACAGACCGGCTTCAATCGAGCACCTGGACAGACTAACCGCATCTAAGATGTCATCAGAACAACCTCCACAGTGGGAGGGGTCTGGTGCCCGGAAGCCCCTAACGTTGCCTCCCAATTTGACCCCTAAGTTCTTCCAGAAGTCACCTAGAGAGGCACTCCGCAGGGTCACTAGCTTACTAATACGGAAAGGTGAGTCTATACTTTCATATTTATTATATATTAATATATTTATATATATTTCCTACCTATGGATACGATCTAATATCTAGATAGAGCGTCAAGTATCAAAAAATAATCACCTAATTGTTAGCACCAAGTTATCTTAAACAAAATAAATCGATATTTCAAGAAATAAGTATAACAATTAAATATATGTATTCTCACATAAACTAACAAATTGAGTAATTTTTATCATTGTACACATTTAAAGTACAGTCAATTACAGGAATTTATTCTCATAAAAATAAAATGGGCAATTTTTAGAGCAACATTTATAGAAAGACACTTTATCTAGATGTATATAATAAAGTTCCTATCCATATGCTATAATTTATCATCGTGGTGGTAAAGTGTATAAAGAAAATATGTGCCTAAATCTTCAAAAAACACTCTATATCTAATATTATCAAATCGTTTAATAAACACGTCTAATTAGAACTACGCATACCAAATGGTAATCGTTCGAGACATGCTATGCATGTTATACCACTAGTTATTCTTTACACCATTATATTGTTATAGACAGTTGATTATAATTGATTAGTTAATTACATCATACATATCAACGAAAACATCTTTAGAGTATGTCCAGTACATAAATCCTACGACTGTTACCGGGACTACTACATAATCTAATTACTCGAATACACTCTAATATCTAAAAACAAATTCACTAGCAATCCAGGCTATCATTCATGTTACTAACTTATCCTTCTCTTTTTAAACTACTTTGCTATTTAGGAATTAATTTGTAATGGTAGAAAGGATTAAGAATGCAGTGTCTCGAATAGTAAGTATTATATCTTGAATAATTTAAATTAACATACGAGTATCAATAAATATATCTTATTTCTATTATAATAGCCATATCTATAGGTAGCTAATGACCAGCTCAAATAGTAAGATAAAAACCGATGATGCCTATAATAAAGGTAAAAATAAATATCACTGATAATGTCTATCTGTTGTTAAGCACATATAATTAATTATACCTACCAATAAGAAACAATGATAGGGACAATAATGGGCCATTGCCCTTTAAATAAACATCTGTACACAATAGAGGTCACAAATAGCCCTCAATGTCGAGGCTGTTTGGACGCCGAAAAAACGGCTGCTCACGTAATGCTGGAATGTGTAGCTGTGGCCCTTAAACATTCAGAAATCTTCGGAATAATAATGTCGCTCCGTGAGGCCTGTGAAGATCCCAGGAAGCTTCTATGCTTCTGGGCGGAGTATGGCTGACTGTACTAGCACGACTCATACGTCTATAGGCAACGGTTACCACTTTCCATCAGATTTATCGACTATAACCATCACGTGTTCTTCGTTTACGACTTACGGTAGCGTTGCTATGGTTCCAGTTGATTACTACTCCGCAACAACGATAACAATATCGAATCTAACTTAAGATATTTTACTGATCATAAGTACGAACACCACGCACTAAACATTCATAATAAGTACGTCTGTTACTGTGAAAACCGAAATTATGCTAAATCTAAAATGTTCTATGTTTACAACAGAGACATAGTAAATGTCAAAATAGACCTTTTATTTATCATTATAGTATTACATATTTTATTTACCCTAATGTAACTATAACCTATGCTACGGCTTACGACGGAGTGTTTGCATTAAACATGCTTCTATTTTAATTTAAACACGGTCTTCAGCTGAAGAGGCATTGATGGGCCCTCGATAATGATATGTGTAACTGTTAATAAGTCCATTCTTATATTAAATAAAGTGATGACTACTAATAACTAATCGTCTGATAATTTATATATACAAGGATCCCCGTGTTTGTACTCATTTATTTAAAAGAGAAGATAGATCAAAAGGCATTACGCACCATCATTCCAAGACAACTGAAATGCATGTCTTGAATTAAAACATGAGTTTTAAAAATTCCAGTTCAAGCTGGAATACAATTTTGGAATCCCCGGACCGCAATCAAGCATTTCCACCGACTGATAATTATTTATAGTAACCGTCTAATTTTAGTACCATCGCTGGGGATTTGGCCTCCACTTGTCCTAGAAAGAGTTATGAAACGTAATCCATCGTTCGGACTCAGATTAGAATGGTAGATTTGTCAACAAGTACCGAGCAGTCAACCCACTCGAAAGTCTGCCTCAATAATGACCTATGATAAATAAGTGTATATATTATTTACCTAAACTTTTCAATCGACATTGACCAAAAAATGTAATTCGAGCTCACAATGCTTTATTGCCTCCACACTTAAATATCATAATAATTATATAATCAACCTTTAATTTCTAATAATATTTATATTATTAAAAGTTTGTGAAGATATTTAGACATTTCTTACTTAAATCATTTAAAAAGCTTTTATTTTTTTTATAAATAATTAGATAAAATGAACCATGTCCTAACACATAGGGTACTTAATATCTCAACTAGATTTTACGATTTTGTCCACATGACTGGGATAAATCGATTGACCAGTATAAATAATACCCTGTGCCCTCGTTCATCCCGTATACGGGATTGCATACCAAATTTCATGTCAATTGGTTGAGCCGTTAAGACTCTAAAAATAAATAAATGAACAAGCTTACTTTTATCACCTCTTACTACACTCTACTTGGCCACCTCGAAATAAGGTGAAGCTGGCATCCTAAAAACTCGGTGTGCTTAATAGAGCGAAGCAATACTTCACGGCGGATCAACAATTAATGCTCTATAAATCGCAAATCCGGCCCCACATGGAGTAGAGCTGTCACTTATGGGCGGGAGCACCTAGATACCAGCTTCAACCCATCGACTCAGTGCAACGACGAGCTATGAGAACTGTCAATGGTTCCAGGTTTACAAGCGGTATCGAACCCTTAAGTCTTAGAGATTTTGCCTCACTCTGCGTGTTCTACCTCTTGTACAACAGACTGTGCTCAGAGAAATTGTTTAGTGTGATGCCTACGGCCGCTTTCTACCATCGTACAGCTTGCAATCGACAAAGAGTTCACCCCCACACCTTAGAACCGAGATAGTCGCGTACAGCGCGATTACAGAGATGCTTTCGCCCACCAACGCTTAGGTTATAGAATAAGCTCCCTGTCAAAAAATTTCTAAAAGACTACAGCATAAGGTTCTTCAAACAAGGGATAAAAAGGTTTTTTAAGGCCGGCAAAGCGCGCGTATATCCCTGATATTGCAGGTGTTCATAGGCTGTACTCGCTTTCCAATAGATGGGCCGTATAATTATTTGTCATCTTAGTGGTATAAAAGAAAATAAACCGGAAGAAGTTTAAAAAAAAACAATCCTTTTTCTGTAAACGCCCGATATATAGCGTCACATTTCTTTTTTATTTCAACTGTACGATACCAGATAGCACTAGGACGGCGTATCCTAATCGTCCTGCAAATGACAATACTTTACTTTGTTTTAGTTTATAGGAATTTATATCGCCTTCTTACCCTCCGCGTTTGTCAATAGATTACCATTGTCTATCATTGTATTGACTAGGTACCTAATAATGTTTAGACATACTAGTACATTCTATATTAAGTACCTAAACTGATCTAGAACTAATTAATGAGATTATTAAATAATTTTATTAATTGCGAATATTTATTTTATAAGTCAAAATAATAGGGAATCCAAAGCAATGTTTACTGCTATATGTACACAGCAATAAAATTCTATTCTATTCTATATACATAATATCAGTAATCTTAATTATATTTACATATGTTTCTTTTATTTATACATATACGAGGTCTGTCCGGAAAGTTCGTATAAAAGTGTTCTGGAATGCGAGAAAGAGGAGTGGGGAGGCCAGGTAAGCGCAGGACCCCTTCCTTATGTCCCTAACAATGCTTCAGTTCTGGTCTGACCGCCGTGCGGTGCGAATACCACGCCATCTGTGAAGTTACCTCTTAACGAAACCCCGTCGGCATGGAGCCCGCTTCCGTTGAAGAGCAGCGCGTCGTAATCAAGTTTCTCTCGAAACTCGGCAAGAATGGCCGTGAAATTTTTGCCGATCTCAGAACAGTAAAATCCCAAAGCAAAGAGTGGAAGACATCCGGGGAACCACGAACAAAAAAATCAAGAAAATCCCGCTCAAATGTCAAGACAATGTTGATTGTTTTTTTCGATGTTCGGGGGATTGTCCATCAAGAATTCGTCCCTCCAGGCCAGACAGTTGATGGAAAATTCTACGTCGATGTGCTCAGACGCCTCAAAGCTCGTGTGGCACGAGTTCGTCCAGAATTGGCGCGAGAGGGGCGTTGGATTCTTCACCACGACAATGCCCCTGCCCACACCTCTCTTGTTGTCCGTGAGTTTTTGAGTAAAAATTCCATTACGGTGACCGAACACCCCCCTATTCGCCGGATTTGGTCCCGTGTGACTTCTTCTTGTTCCCAAAAACCAAATTGGTACTTCGGGGGCGGCATTTGGGGGACATAAATGAGATAAAAAAAGCTACGACGGGGCAGCTGAGAAACCTACAACCAGAGGACTTTCAAGGAGCCTTCTCACAGTGGAAACGGCGTTGGCACAAGTGCATTATGTCACAGGGGAGTACTTTGAAGGGGATAAAATTGATTTACCTGAATAATTGTAAAATAAAATTTTTAAAAAACTTTTATACGTACTTTCCGGACAAACCTCGTACGTCCTTTATAAATTATCAACTTAACTCTAAATTTAGTTAAATACCGCCACAATTTTGAAATAGGTCGATATTTTACTAAGGTTTTGATACCAACACGATATATACCTACATTCATCGCCTGCTATCTACACCACATATTCCTATCTAAATAAACTGACCCATTGATAGTGTGTAACAATAACGTTTTAACAATCACTTATGAGGACTTAAAAAGTTCGGCTGCACAATAGTGAATAGAATACAATGGTTGATTCAGTTACCTGCGCTACGGCATCAGTATGTGCATATGCATAATACTATGGTTCAGTGCGGTGCAATGATTCAGAGATGTCGCCAGCTTGCCCTGCATGACTGTCAGCATGCGTGAGTCACCATCGACAAAGGCGTGCGGCGACGCGGCGCGGTGCGGCGCGGCGCTGCCACCCGCCAACCAGCATGATACATCCATGTACTCTGAGTAATGGGTGAATTACATTATCCAAACTGCCATCTGCCATACACTAACTAATAGTGTGAACTGTAATCGTCTTGAAATATATATTCTGGCCCTTTTGGTTAGAAATCTATCAAAACCTATTTTAAAATACTGAAATATCATTTTATTTAACATCATAAATAATAAAGGTAAATGTACATTTACCTTATATTTTCTATTTCCTGTATTATTTATAAGTTAGTGCAGAATGTTTAGTTACAATAAAATTAAATATATAAAAATATCTAAATAACTCTTTAAACTAACGTGCAAATAAATAACAATTAATAGCAACACTAAAGATGCATTATCTGATGACATTATCTTGCAATATTCCACGCGTACCCACTACGTGACTTAAGAAAGATGAGATAAAGAAGCAAAATAATGCCTTTTGATTTCTATCAAAATTTTCGAAGAACATGCCAATATTCTGAATATTAAAAATGGCGAGATTATAGTTATATTAATGGAATATTAGTTTGATAACCTAAAATAATTCTCTCTCTCTCTCTCTCTCTCTCTCTCTGTTGTGTACCTGATTCTTTAATTTAAAACTTAAAGTAGGTCTAACCTAACCTACGCCTAGTTTCACAAAAACTAAGCAACAAAAATACTTCTTATAATTAAATATGTAGGTACACCTTTCTTATACCCACGTTTGATATATGTCGATAAACTATGTCACCAATTCACGAGAATGCAGACCGACAAAAACGTTCGAATAAATCATGATGCAAATAAATATTAGTTGGAGAGTAAACTGTTAGCTACAAAGAATGGTCTGGTAAAACCGGTCGCTGCCAAAGATGGCAACCGGTCAGGCTTTGAGGCCAAGATCGTAGCCCGCTACCCACAACGCTACACTGTCGCTCGCTCTACATACAAGTGAAACACTAAGATGTCTTTAACCGATTTTTTTTATATTTTTCCTTCATTACTTGGTATCTGTAGATTGTATATAAGTAGCGTACGAGGTTAATGGAAAAATAATAGCTGTTTATCAGGGGTCAATGATTCTAACGCTCATCGATCAAATAGCTAAATTTAGATCTAGTGGTAATGAAAGTGGTGAAATATTTCTACTGCAGTGCAAATAAATATCTATTGGAAATTTGCCAAGTTCCATTGAATCTAAAAATTCTATGTTTATTTAAAGGCCGCTCGGATCGTCGTATGTTGGTCATCCTTTCACGTCATACCAAAGTCACTTTCTAGATTTGTATGAATTTGAAATTCACAATAGCTCCTATATTAATATATATTGCTTCGATACTAACGCTATCGCGGCGATAAGTCGTAATCAACTCACATCTTGATCGTTCTTATCTTGAGTGACTACATGACCGTAATATAGATAATTCAAGTAGCCAAAGGAAAATGATTTTAATTTTATTATGCTGCGATACCATGTAAACAATAATTATTTTTTGTTTTACTGAAAATTGTAAAGAAGCTGACAGTTTACATGAATAGAAAATAGTTCCTAGTTGTAGTACACCATATGAAAATATGGATATCCCATAATTGAATTGACATAACGTATTAAAACATAAAATTTACTGATAATTTCTGAATATTATTAAGAATAATGTAAGAAATGCAATTAACTTCACTCGTTAGGATACTTTATAGTATGGTATAGGCGTCACTCATAAACATTTGGCTGGCCGATTAGAATTTTTTTTTTATCGTAAGCATGAAAATCGAGTCCAACAATTCGGCATTAAGTTTTAGTGTAAGCCCAGAGAAAGGACTAGGTACTTCTGAAGTTGCAACATAAGAAGTTATCTCATTTAACTTTGCCTATGAAACCAACCATAAGAACTCAATGTTCTCCTAAAGCAATTATCACAAAACTCTGTAGAATAGTTAATAATACTAGGAATCCACTATAAGTAGTTCAAATTATATTTATTTATTTATTAAACTTTAATACACCTAGTGTAAATAACGAGCTTAAACTTTTATAGCTGTATAGCTATATTTAAAATATAATATACAAGCTAGTATCTTAGCTTTACCCGAGTGAATAAAGACAAAAAAACCTTTGTTTAAAAATACTCGTAAGGTCGTCAGTACAACAAAAATTCATTAAAATCTGTTAAACATTTTAAAAGTAATTAAATGAGGAGCATTTAAAAATCTTCACAAACTTTCACATTTATAAGATTAGTAGCTTATAGATTTTTTACAACTTTACAACTAATGATTTTTTACGACGTTACATATGTACCTTATACCCAACCTTGGTTATCAAGCCTGTTAGAACTCAATGCTCTTTTTATCAAGAACGCGCGTTCTATTAATGCGTCATAAAAAATATTTGTTTCGGGTTAGTATTGAAATAACCTTATATAATATAACGTAGGCACTTGAACTGTAATAAAAAATGTCATTTCATTAAATGCCTATATTAATTAAATTTTTGAAGTGGCGAAATGTTCTCTCTATTTTTACTTTTCAATAATGCTTATAAATCAAGGTGAGGCTAGGTTGCTATCAGTAAATACACATTATAATCCAAAGCTATTTCGGATATTTTACACAATTACGTTTTATAACTATGACAAGCTATTTACCGTGGCTTTATATGTGCGAAAACCGTTATATACGGTCTTCGGGAAGATCCTGTTTAAAATAAGCTTTTACGACGACATCACTATTGTCCATGATTTATTCTAATAGAATACTCACTAATTAGTAGTACCGCATTCGAGTATTCTGACACTTCCCTATGGTCGACTGGGAGAGAATGCTTTTAGCATGAAGTCCGCCATGTACACATATTTGTACTAATGAAAAAATAAAATAAATAAAATACTTTTTTCATATTATTTCCGCTTAAAAAGACATAGTTCAACACCGATCAAAATACAATGTACAAAATACATAAAAAATTAAATATACAAAATACAATAACATCCTAAAAGGAGGAACTGTTTATTAGGGGCGAATCCTTGAAATTTACCAAATAGTCCTATTGATGCTCGAGATTATTGGCAATTACAACCAAACAGTTGTTTGCAATAGATAGGCAAATATATTATTTATAGAAATATACTTCAAAGCTCGTACTTTGAATTCTTGCTATGAATTTAATATATCTGTACCTATAGATAATTATAGTTAATCAATCAATAAGAGCCATGTTTTTATATTATTTTTTTTAAACTGCAATTTTGTTCGTTTTGTATCTGCTTTAAAATATGTACTTGGAAACCCCTGCATTGATAACATTACCTACTCCATTCCCCTCTGCGCATTGTTGCTGAGTCCGCGTCGCGCATGCAAATGGCGGCACATCCGTCTTCGGCCTAATCTTATGTCCGGTCGACGTCATTTAAGCACCTACATAGAACGAAATAGATTCGTTGAAATAATCGATGACGTCTCATCATATAGTCATCTTATTATTACAATTTATTTATCAATAAAATAATTTATATTCAAAATGTAATGAAAAACAAATTGTAAAATAATAAAAAAACAAGTAATAATAAATATCATTTTTATTACTCATAAATATATACCTACTTTCCATCGTTAATATATATACCTACCTAATTATTATATACATCACATCGAAATATGGGTACCCACACGTAGGTACTGGCGTACTCAATAGCTACTTACTGTTTTTTTCCATGGTAGGTATTGAAAGATCTGTTGAATGTCAATTGCCCAACGCCCTCATAGTGCATTGCCTTAACCTTGGAAGCCCACGTGCTTACTGGCTTCAAACAGTGCTAACTACAGATTTCTCATTTCCGTTAATTAATATACTTAATACGTACTTCAAATACGTAGACAGAATCTTTAAAATGTCTGATACCTATTTTCATAATATAGGTTTTAGTTAAAATAAGATTTGGGATTCAAGAAGTCCAAATAATGCGCCTGCACTTACTAATTCTGCCTGATTAAGTAAAATTTAAATACATTATACATAGTTCTCAATTTATTTAAAAATAAAAAAAAAAAACACTTTATTCTAAAGTAAGATTCGTACATAATGTAAGTGACTTATTTTAAAAGCTCTTAATATATTTGTCTATTGACCGTTATATTTTTTATAATCTCCATTTGAATGTTATTTACTATTGCTATGCAACGCATGCATTTAAACTGGGTTTTTATTATATATATGAATAAATAATTCATTTACTTTATATATAATGATTTATTTGCTTTGTGCTTCAGGGAGCACGTAAAGTCGTCCGTTGTCCTCGCAAGTCGTTCAGTAAACAGGTCTTTGTGTTCAACAAAGACAGGCTCGTAACTCTTGACGAAGCAATAGAGGGCACCACTGTTATATGATTAGACAGCATAATTTTATGAAGAAGAAATCTTTCCAATTGTGTCCCGGAATACCTTTAAACTGTAACAGATTTCCCGTTCGAAAACCTGAAATCAAATTCAGAATAAAGTGAATTTTATAGCTCTGATATCAAGAACCGTAAATGCAAAATTAACACAGAATAGTTTCTCGTTAACTCTTCGTAACATAAGCCATGAGCTTATTTGCCACCTTCTTGGAGTATAAAAAGTCGCTAGGTAGTTAAAATAAAGTAACAAAATTGAACATAACTTCAATATAAGTAGATATATTTGACCTTCACTGTCCTAAAACTTCATAAACCTTATACAGACATGACTTTGTCGACTACCATCAGCGCCATATGGTTTCGTACCATCACATAAAAAAGTAACAACGTTAATTTAAAAATATACAAGTGTAAGTTAAAACGCACATATAATATGAGTCATCATGATAATATGTTGACGACATCATATCGGTTGAAACAATAATTAAGTACGTGTTTAAAGTTCGCTTTGGTTCGTAAATACCTAACGTTTACTTATAAACTACAACTTAAACAATCATTATTATAACGACCCACTACTGGGACCTCTTCCCATAAAATTCTATAGCCAAACCTGTTCAAGTGGCTTCATTTATTTCGAATATTCCTTTTCTCGTATTGCTTTTAAGACGTCCCGCAAAAGGAAAAAGTAATGTCACATTATATTTTTACTTCGTCACCATAAGGACGCAAAAGAGTCATACCTATTATTTGTTGTGGGTATATATTTATATAAACAAGTATTAAGAGGTTGACCTTAGATTAGAACCATTGAAACCACAAAAATACATTTTCTCTGTAGTACAATAATATGTTTTAATGTAAAAACTGCGTACAAATTATTCTTCATATATTCTCAATCAAATTCATAATATACATTCAGTGATCATGTCCGTCAAAAACTAATAGCTCCTTTATTCTCTAAACTCTAAGCCCTCAGAGGTAGGTAGGAGGTAGCACCATAGATCTTTATGTTTCGTAATCTTCTAAATAAGAATTCCACTCGTTATCATTATCGTCAACGATTGTTGTTTATTTAACATTCATGAACATTAATAACCGAATGTTTACAATTAATTCCTATAGTGATTGTGCGTGAGATTACCAAGTTTAACCTTTGTAAGTATCTCACGCTCGAGTGCGACCTCGTAGTAATCCAATATGGTGAGGCGCCACGCTCGACTTGTAGCATAAGCAGGATTGCTGTTTTATTGCAGAGGATAACCTATTTCTAGTATTTGTATATATGTGATATTGTGTCCTTCATTACTTAAATATATGTACTCGTATATGTGTTTCCTTAACTGTACCTACAGTGGATGAGTCACGATATTTGAATCGACCATTGTTTAAATTCAATCATATGTAAATATTATTTAATTATGTACCCGCCTATATATATCGTGTAAAATTGTGCTCTACCATAGAATAGATAAATTTACTGAATTATAATTAGACACTGTACTGACATTTCTGTGACTTAATGGTCGAGGGATGGGTAGCAGCGTCCCTGTTAAAACATCACCAAAGGCTAACTGTTGCCAACTCGTTTTCCAAGCGTGGCAACTATTGGCAAAACCCCCTTACGGAGGAGACCTATGTTCAGCAGTGGACAGTTAACGGCTGATATGATGAATCTACATAACATATGGAATGTAATTTGTATTTAATTAATAATAATAATGTAATTGTTAATTTTATTTGACGATATTGAATATGTAATTTGACTTGATAATTGTTTGAGCATTGTTTTCTTTTTTTTCTTTTTTTTTATTATTCTATGATCATAATAATGTATTAGTATAAATTAAATTTGTATCCTTATTTAAGGAATAAATTAGATTTGCATGCCTACAATTTTAAGGCAATTAGACAGATGCCAAAAAGTTGTGTCACATGGCCCTTATAATGTCAAATGTCTGTTTAAAGCAAATAAATATTTCATTTCATTTCATTTCATTTCATTTCATCTATAAATTACTAGTTTTAAAATATTTTTTTAATTTGATATTCAATATAGATATTCCTCACTGCAAATGCAACTATTGCGCGTAGTTACCATATACTTGTATCAAAACGAGAACAAGTTATCGCGCTTCGGAAAAATAATTGTTAATCAATTTTACATACTTACCGTACTATAAAAAATATTATGCGAAATACGATCGAGAACAGAGTTTATTGTAAGTAGATAATTCGATTTGCTCTAAAATCGGCTGTACTCCATGTTTCATCAGGTCTCGCGAGATAGACTGTCGTAGCGTGATGATTCTGTCCCGTTCCAGCTGCACTGGTTTCACCCCACTCAACTTACGAGACACACAACAAAAATCGATCGATGGCAATAGATTTATAAACCAAGCGTTTTCAAAATGATTGCACTGAATTTTAATTTAAAGAAACTATAGAAAAGTTTTTTTTTTTTTATGGTGTCGGTTTTCGTTCGTGAGTGTAATAACTTACATGTGCTAATTTTAAATAGTTTCACTTATTAACAGAAATTTATTATTTTAAGAAAGGTTTGTTTATCCTTTATATGATACCGTAAGATTTACTAAATAATTTTCAACTTATGATAGATTGTCGATGGTCAGCATGTATTGTAAAAATATTTTTAATTTGCGATATAGGACTAGATAAACTGAGAGAAATTACTAAATTTGACTGAAGTACTTAAGTAATTTATTTTATTTGTTACAGCACATAACTAAAATAATAAAATCTTAATTCGGAATACATTCAAATATGGCATTACAATTAGCATTTCTGTATTAGTCTGTTAACATGAATAAAATTATTATAAAGCCTTATTGCAAAAATGGTGGTAATCGACCCTCACCTACATACCACAAGCCACCTGTTCATACATACGTAAGTGCAGCTAGTCTGCCTGCCCTGCATATATGCCGAACTGCTTTGTCATATACTGCGTAGGATAGGTACCCATTAATTATGTTTTACCTTCCATACGACATTATTGCTTTTAATCAGAGTTATTTCTTAATATTTTTATAATTTTTTTCTTATTGATTGTGATTTACAACCAAAATTAGTAATTTTCAGAATAACGTATTTTAAAACTTGAAAGAAGTAAGTACTATGAGATAAATATCCCAGATTTACACCCCCATACAAAAGTAACAAGTAAAAGTTTCCCGAATTAAAATAAAAAAAAAATACTTACCGTAGGACAGAATATGGGTGGAATTGATTATTTAACACTTCGTGTCTAGATATCAGATCTTTATAAAATGAGTAATAAAATTTGGGCATATTTGGCTATCCTAATACCTACCTCACTGTATATAGGAATGGATTAGAAATTAGTACATAATTTTATTTAATATACTCTACAGTTGTTGCCGTGTGGTTCCGGCATAAAATAGGCTACCCCATCCTTTCCTGTGGGTCTTGTAAGAGGCGACTAAAGGAACTTAATGGTCGAGGAATGGGCAGCAGTGTCCTTCTAAAAACATATCTAAAAGCCTAATTGCGGTTGCCAACCTGCCTGCCAAGCGTGACAACTACTGGCAAAACTCGCTCTTACGGGGGAGGCCTAAGTTCAGCAGTGGACAGTTAACGCTTAATATGATAATGCTAATAATCCATAGTCAATGTAATTTTTTGTCTTTGATTGTGCATCTTGGTGTTCTTTGTATATCGATAATAGATACAAATCTATGTGCTATTTTAATAAGTAATTACGACTCAATCGTCACAGACGTTTATCGTAAGGTTGTTAATATTAAACATTTCGTCATAGTCGTAGAATACCGACAGATCTTTATATGTAATATTTGTCAGATCCATCAGTATTCTACGACTATGACAATTTATTAGTAATAAAAAACTTATAACTATATAATTCGAGTTCGTTTATATCTTATTTAATATTTCAATACAATAATCATTAATATAGACACCTAAAATGGTGCCTATTATATGTATACTTATATATTTAACTAACGTATCTTTACTAATATTATGAATATAAAAATAAGTTTTTTTATTACCTTATACCATCTTAACAGCTAAAGGAATAACTATGAAATTTATTATACACGTACCATTTGAGACAGAGAATTATATACGTTACTTTTTATCCTGGTCACTCCGATGAAGTCACGGGTAAAAGCTAGTATAATAAAAAATGAACTCTCTGGGAAAGGCATTTAATGCTACACACGTGGCCTATACATAGTAATGTCGCCGTATCTCCGGCCATGATTAATAAAACACACAGTACAATCGATGAATATAAAGGCATCAAATACACTTTGATTTAATTCCTTGAAACCAGTAAGAACTTCCTGTAATTATGAGACAGAATTAACTGATTCAGTTCACGTAGCCACGTAAGCAACAAACCGACAAGCAATTTTTCACACATAAACATTGCCAGTCATTGCGTCAGCTCTAAATATAGCCAGCAATGATTTATTCAACTATTTTAGTTATATTAATAAATTTAATTATATACTTTTACGACATTTTCAAATTAAATTATTCTGTATTCCTGTTAGATACTAGTTTTCCTGTGGACTCAACTCTGTTATCTCGGCAGTATCCTGTTTGCCCTTTCCTGGGATGTTATTCCGAAGTCGAACGATATTTACTCGCTATAAAGCCTTATAATAATGACATGCTCATGCTTATTCTATATAATTTAAAATAAAAAAGAAATACATAGAAAACTTCTAAAATGAACAAAATTAGACACACATTGGTGGATTGATCTCCTGAATCTTGATAACTTAGAAATAGCTTTTAGTCTGTGATAATGTATTCTCATGAGATAATTTAATGAAAACCGCTGTACAATAATAAATACCGAAGAGATAATAAAAGAAATGTAAAAGAGCAGTGTTAATTTCGGACTTATCCAATTCAAAAAGTATAATATCTAGTCGTATATGTAATGTTATATTTACCATAAATTAATATAACATGCCGTAATCATATTTAATTACTCCATCAGAACTTATCACCGTTTAGATTTATTCATTTTCTAGTGTCAATAATTAGAGACGGAAACAAAGACACAAAGACTGTCTCAATAAGTTCTACCGTGAAACAGCAACTGTTGTTCGGCAAAATTAAGTGAGACAATGATGGTATCGACCCAGGAGGGTCAAAATAAAGCGCAGTCTAATAATTTAATATTATCTACTGAAAATGTTAGTGACAACATTGGAATAAAGGTATTAAAAATATATACATAAAAGTTAATGTTTTTATTCGCCACACACAAACACAATTCACATAAGAGATAGATTAGATAAACAGTGTATAAGGCACTGTCACCCTTTAAAATATTTATTATGATTACTTTGCTTATATTGCTATTCGTATTCGAAGTGAGCACGATTAAAGGAAGGGGTCACAATATTTATCTGTATAATTGCAAAATCAACTCAAGTCTATATGTAATGTACGACGGTTGGTTGCGATTTGAGGCCGCGCGAGTCAACGCCACTGCCAAGGTCGGCTCGTCGCTCGTCCTCCATTCCACGTCAAACAAACGCAAACGCCATCGATGCAATCGACCGCTCTTTTACAACATCATTAAAACCGTCTATAAATTTATGCAGCACCAATACAGATATCGTTTTGTAGATAATAATGGTTTTTATCGGCGTTCCGGATGTGGGTGGAGTCTTTGAGTGCCTACCTAGATGTTAACGATCCTATACCCCGTGCCAAATAAACCGTAAATGTGAAATATATATTTTATTTTCTTTTGGAATTTAAATCGGAAACAACATATGCTAAAAGTATCTATTATAATGAGAAAAAAGATTTCGTCGAGTGGTATTTTGCAAGCGGCAGACAGAAGGCAGCAGGAGGTGCGCGGGTGAACGATCGCGACGGAACCGGTCGCGCAGGCGCGGCGGTTGGCGGCGCGACGAAGAAAGGATCGTACCGGGAATGTGCCTCCGACGTACGACGCGGACGCCGAGGATTGACAATATATGAGCCCTCCTCCATCTGAAGTCTAAACTTAGATATTTCCGGATTGATTTTAAACTACACCAACTGGATTTACACGATATAGATAAAAAGTTATGGTCATCATTATTTACTTCAAAGTACAAATATAATCAATTGATTTGTGAAAGCCTTAATTTACTTAGTGGGGAGTTTAATAAATATGAATTTTTATTAAAAAAAATATTTAGGAATAATTGAATTGTTACAAATATTAATTATAGAAATTAAAACCGTTTAACGTGAAATTACGTCACTTTTTTATTTCAACATTTCTAAATAGAAATTACACAAGTAATTCATGAACAATTTATGTTACATAAAATAGTTAATGTACCCAGTTATTCACGAGAACGGTGCGGCACAGATCTGACTTATCATACACAGTAATCTTATCAGAATTTGATATTTTTTGTCATTTATACATATTATCGGAATATATCGTCATATTTTCCGTGATACTATGTATTTTCCAATAGTAAATATAGATTAATATTTCATTTCTAACAAACTTGTTTATTGTATGTATAAATAAACAAGTACTTAACTACATTAAAAGGAAATAAATCAATATTTCCTCAATTACTGTTTCAATATAGAACGTAATCTTGTTAGTTACCTATTGGTTGAAAATATTGTGATATTATATACATTTTTATATTTTTCAATAATAATTTTTATTATAATAATATATAAAATTAGTCTATCAATAACGTATCGAAGAATAATGGACATACAATGTAGAAGTGTACAGGTAAAGGGACACACTTAGACTGATTTATTACTATGAAATAAATTAAAATAATCTTATTGTATGAATGAGTCGACAAGAACCTCTCTCTGGTACCAGTCGGACAATCTGGAACTATCTTTCTGATCTCTATTTCCGATAATGATAGTTCATATTAGTAAATAGATAGGTACCTGCTCTCATGACAAATGTTAATATTGCTTATCTTGTGTAACTATAGATAAACTTTTTGTCTCAGGGAACAACAACGGGAAAGAGAAAGAAAATTCCCGAAGCAAGGAGGCAACATCACCAGCTGCCCGGTCTGCCAACGGTCAGTACATTAAGTTTCACAATATTGCAAAAACAGTGAGCATGGTTGCTATGACGATAATCGCGTGCCAGAGCTTGAATGAGTGCTTAATAATCGAGCTTTTCATCGTGTACGGAGGGTGCCGGCTCTAGGGGTGAGGGAAAGAGGCAGGGTGCGCACATGCCGCGTCCCCGGGGGTTGCGACGTCGACCGCGCAGCCGCGGCTGCCACCCTCGTGTACACCCCGCTCTTACCTCGTCCTCCTCCCGCGCCGCTAACCCCTCTCTGCAGGGGCGACAACGACTCAGGAGGATACCCCATCCTACCACATTTTTTGCGGAAATTGGAGTCCTCCATAGATTTGACTATCTACCAACTAAAAAAAAAAAGATTTAAAACACAATCAGTTGCAATAATAACTTAGTTTAGTTTGGAGATAATAAAATTCCAAAATTGGCAAACTCACAGATTACATACAGTCGATGGGTTCAGAAGCATAAAATATTCACAAGAGCTCTGCAAAGGTAACAATGTAATTTATAGGTAAAGTAATAACGTAAATTGTTACCAAAAATGGGATTTTCTGAAGTTCCTACAAAAACAAGAGATGATATATATGGATTGAACGGGAAACGAGCCGGGAGAAACTGCCAGCAACTGTTGGTAACACGTATTATAAAACTAAATATTCCTGACTCGATAATGTTCCCCTAACAGTGTGTGAAATGTGAACTGTGAACAACAGTGCTGAATTGCAGATTGAATTCGGGATTTGGGCCACTGGGCTTAACTACATTATTACAGATGCAAACCGTTCTCAATAGCATTCCATTGTATAATTGACAATTCAGTCAATCATCGCAATTATAATATCATTTGATGGTACCAAGCAAAACAATGAACCGACATAACCAGACAGTTTACATTACCGTCCACGCAACGTCTTTCATTTAACTGAATACCTACACGTATGTGTTGAAAATATGTTATCCATACAGCCATGCACGACACACAAAAGCATCTCAACACTCAGCTGATATGATAATAACATGTTGGAACACAATGTCAGCATGTCATTAGACGTGACATATCAATAGAACTAACGCACAGATAATGGAACATCCGTCTTTAGTACCCAACTTCAGATTACAATGAAGCGTTACACAGATACTGAGAATTATTATATGACACACTTATAGTATAAATAATTCAATTAATTTGAAAGTTGCGCCTACGCAGCCGTCTCGCAACTTCTTTGCATGTATGAGTTAATGTTACTAGTAACGCGAGTACATACCGCGTTACTAGTAACATTAACTGACTCGAATGATTTAGATAAATGAATCAACTTACCATTAAAATGACCCGAAATTCAACGATAAAATTCATGTAACAAAAAACTTTCTTTAATTTTCTTTTTATCAATAAAGTGACACGTAATAATCCTTTCCCTAATATTACCATTAACCAACTATCGCAAAATTTAGCATACGAGTAATATTTTAGTGTAGCGAAGAACCATCGGTCACTTTTATTCTGATTGTGCAAACGAAGTACAATGTTTTTCATATTTATTTTTTATTCACACTAAACGGCTAGATTTGGATAAACTTTATTACATACATATTCTAAATTAATACTTATGATATTTTTGCCCCATTCACGTGGGTAAAACCGTGTCGTGATGTAGCATGTTTTTTTTTTTTTTCTAAAAAGGAAGGTGCTATATTAATTTTACTTATTCCTAAGATTTTTAATAATTTGACAATGTTCTCATCTTTGATAAAAATCAATCAATTTCATGAATACTCTATGAATAAATAAAATTAACTATTGTTGAATTACGATTTTTTTTCACCTTTCTGTTACGCCTCGTTTAAGTAAGTTACTTAAATTACATACTTACATGTAATGACGTCATCGGTGTCCACCTTTCCCACTGGACATAGTAAACGTCAAGTTAATTGCTTTGCCTAAGTATCCGTTATTATGCCCGAGTGAACCAAGTGTCGTGGCATTCGTTAATTGATGTTCTGACTCGTTTTTATTATCAGTAGCTGAGATAAGATCGTTGGGAAGGCTAATTGTTTAACAGGCACGAGACTGGCATACACAAATTATTTTCTAAAATGTACTTTATGCAATGAATACAATGGATAAATTGGTTCGATATTCAATAACTCATAAAGTTTTCTAAAATTTTGTTAAAATTTAATATTCTTTTACACAAAAAAGCAACTTCAATTTTATCTAAATTAGTGTAGGTAGTATAAATAAATCGTTTCGACAAAAAGAGTCATTAAAATCGATTTAGAATTGGCGAAGATATTGCATTTGTCGAAGATGTTGCGGCACAAAAACTATTTAAATTGTTAGGTATTAAGGTGATAGCTTTCGATGGATATTCCAAAAGAAAATTGTTTTTAAAATTTATTCATTATTGATATTTTATAAATTTTGTCATAATTGATAATTGAATTAACTCTTATTAATTCAATTATTGATTATATATAATTTAAGTATAGTTTAGTATACGACTTCTCCTGAATTCCTTTAGGTACATTACATTATTAAATACATACTAAACGTGCATATGATAAACGACTAATTAATACAAACATTTGGTTCTATAACATTATGTTTGTTGACATAACGTAGTAATCTATTAGCTGAATGATAATTATTCACAGCGTAAATACAGCGTTAACTAGATAGGTTAATATTGAACATTTAATTAAGTACAGTCTCGTACCAATATCAAACTTCAAATTTCATATGAAAATATGTTATAATAAATGCCTTCCGCTAAAATCTTTTAGGCACCTATCTAATATAAATAAATAAAAATATTTATGAGTACATGATAACTACAAGGCATGCTGGAAAGCCGTTCAAAACACAATGAAAACCATGAAACATACCACCAAGTAAAAATATGAATTTCCATCAAAGTCCAAAAGAATTTCGACCTTATATATTTTTAATGAAATAAAGAAAAAAATGCTTTGCTGAAATCATATATCTACGTTACAATCAAACAGATTTATTATCTTCATCATCATCGTATTTATAGTCTCATCTAGTTTATTTTGTATTGTTCTAGACCAGAGGTGTCAAACTCAACTTTGCAGAGGGCCATATATTAAATTTTGAATTTGTAGGTGGGCCAGATTGAAAATAAAAAAATGAACTGAATTATTATAACATTTTATTTATTAAATTATATAATATACAGTTGTTAAAAATCATATCAAAGTTATAAAAGATGGTAGGTAATTATGTTGAGCTCGAGGGCCGAAAGCGACCCGAGGGCCGTATCTTTGACATGACTGTTCTAGACTTACTAGTGTAACTTATTTAATATCCAACTTATTTTTATTAATGTATAATTTATTATACTTAAAGATGATGTAAAGAAGTATAACTTCTAATAAATCTATTTTAAAAATTAGCGCTCGTCGTGCCCTTCCTTCGCCTACCTCCCTAATTCCATTTTTATCCCTAGCGAGCTACTAGTAAACATACTCGTCATTCGCACCATTTGGACCAGTTCCAGCGTTAAATATTTCCACCTAAAATCCTAGTTGGCTTATTCATAGGACATATCACATTCTCTAGTATTTCTATGACTTATATCGCCATCGTAAATGCAATAACACCTCCAATTTAACATTTTATGAGCAATATAAATAGAAGGCACAGAAATAATATCTATTATATTTCTAGACATTCCCTTCCCTTCAAAACTAACAATGATCATCGTCCTTGTCGGTCTATCATAATATGAAAGAAAACTAAGATAGGGGTATTTAGGTGTATCTACTTTTTCTTTACATTACATATTAAGTACACATTTCATCTAAAAAATATTTTCGCTTTTCGGAAACATTACATTTATAGAGCACATATCTGCTATTGTTGTAGGAATTGTTATACTAGTATAACATAAGCACAGCATACTAGGAATAATATTATTATAATTATATTATTGACGAACACGTAGGTATACTGACGAACATAACATACTTTGAGAATTATGAATGTATTGCGGGTATAATATCTGAGTAAGTCGGTAAATTTATCATATTGAAGTTTATGACAATCTCAAAATAATAATTTGGACGGATACTTAATTCGTTGCCATCTGTCAAATCACAAACCCCTTTGAGTTCCTTGCTTTGGCAAGAAACTCAATGTCGCGGATTTTGAACTGAACACCCAGATATTTTATGTCACCCTTCTTAAAGTAATAAAGTTAAAGAGAGCGCCTAATTGATCGGAAATCTTTAAAATTTGAAATTTAAATATTATTTAATTAATTATTATTTTAATTTAATGAAAATTTTAAATTCACACTAAACCTCCGTCCTTCTACAAAATACCAATCCGGGAAAACCCTGGCGCATGGCAACATACTATATATAGTAAATGTACCAAAGTGCTTCACTTTAAAAGCAGGTCGAAGATAAAAGCCGGCTTATTTAGAATGTATCACTTAAAAATACATAGCTATTTAAAATGTTAACAACATCGTTAACAAACTTGCCTACTTACTTTAAAATAATTATATCAATAATTTAATATAGCGCTCATTTCAGTTAGTGCCATAGTTATCGCCAGGTCATTGAACTGTACCTACCGTTTGTCTACAATTAATAATTCATATTGTAACATAATGGCGGCTGACCGCGGACACATTTGGCGTGTGGCCTTTTTTACACTTGTGCTGCTGCTTACTTGGTCAAAGTAACACACTACTGTTTTTTATGACTGTAGATTATTTTATACTATTATATTAGCAAACAAGCATACGGCCTGTCTGATAGTAAACGGGGTTACCGTATCCTATAGACGCCTAAACACTAGGCATGCCACCCGCGCGTTGCCGTCCTTTAAGAATTTTTATTATCCCCTTTTTGAAGAACTGCGTATATGTACATATATTTGCTAACATAATAGACAAAATTTCAAACTATAATTTATATAAATAAACAAAGCAGATATCTCATATCCATTCAAAT